CCTTCCTATTGGCCTTGTATGAGCAGGAGAATGTTGCAGCCCGGTCCACCAAACACCATATTTAGGATTCACATTCGGGTGCTGCTGCCTTGACCAGTCCAGACTGTTGTGGATTCCTTTACCTGTGAGTGATGCAGGCTCCTTGGACACACCTAGTTTAATCCATCACCCCTTCAACTCTTGAGCTAACCAGTGGGGCTAGTATTTCCATGGGATTTGGCTCACACATCCCCCACAGAATCTACCCCCAGATATGTTTCTCTCATGTGCTATTTAATTACGTTGCCCTGCCTAATATGACCCATTTCCTGATCCATCAACATGTCAGGTAATAGGATATGATCCTGCTAAACAAGCCTCAAACTTCAGCTTTTGCACGGACTGATGTTCGGTGATTACAAGTACTACACAGTATTTAAAGCAGTTTGGTACATCAATCTTATCCATAAAGATCATCTGGTCCCTCACCTTGAACCTATTAGGTCTCATTACCCTCGTGAACCTTCAAAGGAAAAGTTACTCTGTTGTTGGGATTCCTTAGGATTGATTGACATCCAAAAAGTACAGCGAACTTGACATGGAGATGCCTGAGCAGCAATTCAGGGCCCAAAACCCCAGAGCAGGCCACTGGGTGGCCAGCAGGCAGAGTCTGGTGCCGAATGGCACATTGGCCATCTAGGGACAGGTTACCACATGGATGTGCTGGCTGGAATCACGCTCTGAGCATGGAAGCGATCCCGTCCTGGCACCCACCCATATTCCAGATTCTAAAAGCAAAAAAATTGTTGGCCCAGGATAACATACCCAGCAAAGCTTTCCTTTGTCTTTGAAAATAAAATAAAATTCTTCAACAGTAAAGAAACATTTAAAGAATATTTCTCTTCCAAACCTGCCCTACACATGATACTTCAAGATGTTCTCTTGACAGAGAAGTAGAATAGCATTCGCCAAACCAAAGGCAAATGTGTAGACCATCCCAGTAAAATAACAATAGAAGAATAAGCCAATTAACAACCTATTGCCAAAATGACAGGACCAAATTGCTACTCATTCATATTAACCCTGAATGTAAATGGATTAAACTCATCAATCAAACACCATAGATAAGTAGACTGGATTAAAATAAACAAAATCCATCTATTTGTTGACTACCGGAGACACATTTCACTAACAAAGATCAACGGAAACTATATCTCATGGATTTTGAATTTTTTTTGTTTGTTTGTTTCATCTCTTCAAAACAATTTCTCATTAAATTCCCTGATCACACAACAGCATCATTTTCTTCAAGATTCTTCATTTTCATTTCTTCAGTGACACATCATTCATTAGCATGTTGTTTAACTTCATGGTGTTGTTAATTTCTTTTTCTTCCTGTTGTTTTGTTTCATCATTTTTCATTTAAGGGGATATACAATAACTGTGTAACGGAGACTATCATATCTATATATGATGCAGTATGTGTCTCTATTTCCAGATCAAAAATGCACTCCCAATGAAACTGTTAACTTTATCTTGACAATAGGATGTTGGACTGTCATTGTGCATGCCTGCTATGATGGAAAAATCATTGTGTATGAAGAACTAGATTATAGTAATAATATAGGGCAACTCAGTGGAAGGTGGGAGGGGACTTGTGGAAGAGATAAGGGAAATCCTAGGGCCTATGGAACTGTATAATAAGATGATAATAATGTAAAATAAGTTAAAAATTAAAAAAAAAAGAGAGAATAGATCAATAAAGAAATTCCTTTCCATTTTTTGTTTAAATAGCTCTGTCCGTATTGCCACAAAGTTGGGACTGCAATGGCTCTTTGTCCCCATCTTTCCCTTTCTATCTGACTGCCACTTAAATGATTTTCTAAATTGGCTGAGCTTTGGTAGCCATGGGAATCAAATACATTGCCTAAGATTTAAAACGGAATCCAAGTGAAACAGGACCAATTAGATCATTGAAGCAACGGCCTTGGACCTCCACTGGCTTAACATAAGACATTCTTCCTTCTAATACCATTTAGCTATTAACTAGAACGTTACCAAATTAGGTTGTGATTGGTTGTTTGATCTTTTTCTTATCCACTGGCTTACAGCAGTATTTATCTTAATAAGCAAATCTGTATGCTGGATATGCAAATTCAGGTAATTCTTTTTCTAGTTTGAATTACATAACTAGAGGCATATTTTCCTCCAAGGCCAATTTGGATATTTATATTGCTATTTGTGGGAAATAAAAAGTCATCACCCTAAAGAATATCTAGCTATGTATTTGTTGAATTTCGAGTCCTGCCTATGGTTACCTTGGTAGGGCCAGACAAAATGATTTCATAGGCTATACATGGCATGCAGGCTGGATGTTCCCCATTCCTGGAGCGTGATTCAGAAGACCTGCTAGGACTGTGCAGACCATAGCCTTTGTCTGTGTCCACTTCTATTTCTAGGTATGGAAAAATCTAAAGTTCTTTATTTAGAATTCTACATAATAGCAGGTATAACAGGGTGGGGAAAATTTACAGTTAAAATATTTTAGTAACTGGTAGTAGGCATTGTGGTTATAACAGGGAAAGTCGGGCCTGGCGGCGTGGCCCAGCAGCTAAAGTCCTCACCTTGAACGTGCTGGGATCCCATATGGGTGCCGGTTCTAATCCCAGCAGCTCCACTTCCCATCCAGTTCCCTGCTTGTGGCCTGGGAAAGCAGTCGAGGACGGCCCAAAGCTTTGGGACCCTGCACCCATGTTGGAGACCTGGGAAGAAGTTCCTGGATCCTGGGTTCGGACCAGCATAGCATTGGCCATTGTGGCTACTTGGGGAGTGAATCATGGGATGGAAGATTTTGCTCTCTGTCTCTCCTCCTCTCTGTATATCTGACTTTCCAATTAATAAATAAATCTTTAAAAAAACAGGGAAAGTTGACAACTGCAATGGGCACTAGTCTAGGACTTGGCAACTCCACTTCTGATCCAACTACATGGCAATTTACCTTATAAAGCAGTAGTGAAATATGATGCAAATGTCCCTGTATTCACATGGGTGATCAGAAGAAGTTCCAATCTCCTGGCTTCAGTCTTAGCCATTCCTGCTATTTTGGGGAGTGAATGTGCGAGTGGAAGATCTCTCTCTGTCTCTTCCTCTCTTTGTGTAACTCTGACTTTCAAATAAATAGCTCTGTAAAAATATTTTAGTAACCAGAAAAACATAATATCAAAAAAGTACATCTACCCTGCATTTGGTATACTGTAAAAGCATAATCTTTATAACTGGAGGAAATAGATTTTATTTAAAATCATTTGCTCATGGTACAAATGCCTTTGTATGATGGCTCAACTGACTAATTCTCCCCATATGGTCTCAGTCCCCATCCTGGCTGCTCCACTTTCCTTCCAGCTTTCTACTTTTTGGCCTGGGAAAGAAGCAGAGGATGGCCCAATGCCATGGGACCCTGTGCCCATATGGGCTACCTGGAAGAAGCTCCTGGCCTCAGATCAGTTCAGTTCCAGCTATTGCAGTTACTTGGGGAGTGAGCCAACAGATGGAGGATCTTTTTCTGGATCTACCCTTCTCTTTGTAAATCCGTCTTTCCAATAAAAATAAATAACTCTTCAAAAAAGAACAAAACAAATGCTTCGTACAACTTATATTTTCCTTTTTAAAAACTGAAATGTTTGTACTGCATTTTATCAGCTCTTCTCTGTATTTCATTTATTGGTTTCACAATGTACAATAGAAAGTCTGGTTAAAAGAACATACTGTAGAAATTCTAAAATTGTACATTTACATGAAAGTTACTTTCATGAAGAAGCTTTACCAATATTTCATCTTAATTTTGCATGTCAATGGAATAAATGAAGACTTTAAAGCTAAAACACTAAACTAGCTTGTTCTTTAAAAAGTCTTATGCAGTACATATGTTCTTGACATTCTTTATTGGATAAACATAACATCAGCAGAAACACACATATCGACACACAAAAGATAACTGTAGAATTGACCACTTGTATTGAATGCTTTGCTATTTCCATCTCTTATCATTTTATAACATGTTTTCCATTTCAATGTATTTTAAGAATTGTAATGTGTTTTTTTTATTTTGTCTACCATCATGGTAGTTGTTTAGATAATTGACATAAATGAGAAGAATATTACTTTCTAAACCAGTGAGACCCTGACACCCTAAAGCTGATGATATAAATGTATTATAGATACATATCTAATATTTTTCTAAATTTAGTTCACCCTAGGTCACTTTATTAAAATCTTTATTTTTTTTTTTACCTTTTAAATTTCTTATATCCAATGGCTTATTATAAAGGCTGTAGATATAAAATTATAGTAATAATTGCCTGGTAGCTAGCCCAACAACATCGTATGTCAAGAAATACCAAATCTATATGACAACACTGGCAGATAGTTATTGGAAAAAGTATAAATTTATGAAACTTCTGAGAAAGTATATTTAGCATTATTTTGTCAGTGAGTCATTTTTTTTTAATTCTCAATACAGTGAAAACAATCTTATTCTTGGTAAATGTAGGATATTATATATCTTTGTAGGATGTTGCTTGGTTAATAGAATTGTATCTGACAAATCAGACTTCATATTTTAAGCTTTAGTTGATCTGTTTCATATCAAGTTATATTCTAGATAATAGAAAGCTTTTAAAAAAATAGGACTTTTTAACTTCTCAGGCTCTTAAAAATCCCTAATGTTTTTATAACCTTCCTACTTTGGCCACTATCAATCAATTTTCATGAAGTATTTTAACATTTTATAGTAACAAGGTAAAAGCTAGACTAGGAGATTTTGCTTTTCATTATCAGTTTTGATAACACATACACTTAACACTCACATGTCACACATGTTTACAAACTTGCATTGGTTTCACAAATGAGAGAAACTAACTACACAGTGAAACACAGCAGTTTTTGAGTTTGATTAGTCGTAGTCTTGTGGTAGAAAAGAACATGGTTCTTCTTTCTCTTCCTGGTACATTTTATACAATTCTCTAGTTTGATTCCATTTGATACAGACAGCTTTTGGGCAGCTTTACTACCACCACACATGCACCAGCTCTTCCAATGTTCATAGGGACCTCCTACAACAAAAAGAAGAAGAGAAAGACTGATGTCTGTCTTCAGCATAATATGGAATGTTGAAGTTGAAAAAGTTTGCTTTATCTTGTCCAACCAGCACTTGGTATAAAGGTAAGGGAAACTCCAAAGAATAGTATAGAATAGCTGTTAGAATAACATGGAACTGAACTGAAGGATCAGGTAATCTTACATATGTTTTAGTGTGCTAATATTCTCACTTAAAAAACTACACCTAATATTACATTATCTCCTAAGGCTATTTTTTCAGGCTTAAGTGAAATAATAACTGACAGGAATTTGGCATAGTTATAATCTGTCAGGTCTCTAACTCCTTTCAGGATCACATAAACAATGATACAGACAAAATACATTTTAGGACTCTCAGCTACTCCTCTGTAATCTTACGAAAAGCAAATTCCACAGATTCAGCCAAAATATTTTGGTTATTGTTTTTGATGTAACCTCTTTTTTTCTTCTTTTGAATCTTTCACTTCTGGTGTGTTTTAAGTATGGATACAGAGTTAATAATTACCTGTATAATAGGATTTGAGGATTTCTGAGATCCTTAATTAATCAGATTTTTGAAGGAGACAGAAACTCACTAGCAAATATTATTAACATTTACATATTTAAAACAGCAGCTAGCTCTACCCTGAAGAATATAGAGTAGCTCGAGTCAGTGCAAAGTGAAATTACGTACTTAAACACAAAGTTCACCTGATCATGGAGATTGGTAGAGAATTTTTGGTGTTTCATCTTTAATAATCTATTGTTTGGTTAACAAAAATGTCCGCAGGAATTTTGCCTAGGACTATTACCGGCAAAACTATCCAAACAGTACAATTCTCATTTAGAACCTCCAAGATGTCCTTTCATTGCTCCTTTTTGTATCTTTCTTGGAATTTGTTCCATCAGATGACCAGTGCTTTTGAAAGCGTTCAAATCTGATCCCCTGTTGTATGTCACATTCCTTGAATGATTAAGAAAATTACAAGTATTGTGATTTAAACAATGTTTCTAAACAAAGGAAACTGAAGGTTTTCTCCTGGGCAGCAACCAATAAAAAAATCAGACATTTGCAGAAGACATTACTGTTTGGCTTTCAAGTACACAAAAAGACATAAAAAAGTTGGCTAAGGTACATCTCTTGAATATTCAATCTCCTTCACTCCAAGAGAATTGTCTTTTCCCTTCTGCTTAAGTATTGATGGATTCTGTTCATGGTCAATTAGGTCAGTTAGTAGTACTTTAAGATAAAATACCTAATATGTATTTTGTGTTGGTTAAGTCTTAGGAAGAAAAGGGAATTTATTCCAAGAATACATTTTAAAATCTTTTTTTAAAAGATGAAATATACTGATATGAACATTTTTATAGATTACCTGTTTCCATTCATTTTTCTGTGCATCATAAGACTCAACAGTGTTCAAATAAGTATGACCATCATATCCTCCAACCACATAAAGCTTGTCTCCAAGGGGGCAAACAGCAACAGCATCTCGAGGAACACTCAGTGGTGCCACAGTTGACCAGGAGTCATTTTTTGGATTATACCTTGAAACGATTAGGAAGCGCGGTAGTGTTACAACAGAAAACAATAGATATAAATAAATGAAAATAATAGGTACGAATAAATGGAAAATAGTATGCTTAAATAAAATGCCAACTACTCTAAAATATGGAATTACAAACATTATCCCATTCATATCAGGTATAGATTGACAAGTAAATGTTAAAAATAGGTATATGAAAAATTCTCTTTAACCACCAGAGGTCTCTCAAAGCATTTGAAAGAAAGTATTTCCTCTCTGATCCCACACATTTCTTTTTACAATACTCCACTTATGTTTGGGAACATTCGAACATTGAGAGCATATCATTATATGGAAAATGCCCCTTTCATGCAGTGTTCTGCTTAGAAAGCTTTTGTTTTTGTTACTCCTTGTTCTTCAAGGTTATACTTGAGTTGCTTGATCCCATTTGTGTAAGAAAGAGTGTTCTATGCCTCAACGGGTTCACGTGCCTTGCTAAAGTTTAGACTATCCTAAAATCTGCCAAGTTCAGTAAAAATTATGCTTCAATACAATAAACTGCTAAATACTAAAATGAAAATAGACATGAGATAGCTGAATGGTATCCTATAGCCAATTTAAGGTAGATAGAAGCCAGCTGTATACAAACTATAATTGAAACGTTAATGAAGTAGTCTCAGGATGCGGTTAAGAACTCGCACTCTCCAACATATCAGTCACTCAATACAATGTTAATTAACCCCATAATGTTGGAAACTGTTGCTGATGTTATGTTATGGCATTTAATTGGTCAGAACAATAATCTGCCAGCTATGTCTCCAGACCAGAGTTGGTCTCCCCAAGAAACTGCTGAATTCAGCTGGGCAATAAGATACTGGACACTATGCAAGGCACATGCTTGCATTGAAAGAAACAAGATTAGATTTGAACTGTAATACTGCAATAAGGTGGAGCAATCCACCATGGGGGGAGGGCACGGGGAGAGGATGGGGGAACATCAGAGCCTATGAAACGTTTTTATAAAATGAAATGCAATAAAAAATATGTAAATAAAAAAATAAAGTTCATGCTTTAATATAATGGTCTTTATGGTCTTTACAGAATGTATTACACTAGTCTTAAATATTGTTTTCAGTTACAATAACGTCAGGATTATCATGTGTTTCCCTTCTGAGAGTTTTTATTTATCTTCATAGGAGTTGCTCTGCAACCACTCCCCGCCCTCCCATTTTAATCTGAGGTTAACTCCTTATTTAGACACAAGACAGCTGAATAGTAATCCATAGCCATTTTAAGATGTATAGAACCCGGTTGTATACAAACTAAAATTGAAAAGTCAATGAAGAAGTCACAGGATGTGGTTAAGAACTTGCATCTTTTAACATATTGGTTACTCAATACCATGTCAATTAATTCCATAACATTATAAATTGTTGCTGATGTTACGTTGGAGCTTTTAATCAATTGGGATGATACTCTGCAGGCTCTACCTTCAGACCAGAGATGGTCTCCCCATGAAGCGGTTGAAATTATCAGGACAATAAGATGCTGGACTCTATGCTTGGTACATGCTTTCAATGAAAGAATCTCAACTGAACTTGAACTGTGGTAATGCAACAAGATGGAGGAATCCATCATGGGGGGAGGGTTTGGGGAGGGGTCGGGGGAATCCCAGTGCTTATAAAACTGTGTCACATAATGCAATGTAATTAACAATAATAATACCCTTTTCAATAATCAGAAGGAGCAACACTTCAGTAAGTCATGGTAGTTAAAGTCCTCTCTGTTGAGGTCACCTGGGTCTTGACAATAAGGAAGCCCCAATAAAAACCCTCATCAATAAGGACATCTTTAGTGATTAGTGATAGAAAAGTTCCTTGCCATCAGCAATGTGAGATATGTACCTCCCAGGATATAACCCATACTGTAGCTGTTGTCAGTTTCCACCTGTTCAATAAATTTAACTCTGCGTGCTTCTGTTCTACTACTAATGAGTTCTTCACTGCCTGGGACACTAGTTTCAAAAGGCTGTTTCCCATGATACTATACAGGATTATTTTCTTAAATTTTGAAGTCTATTTAAAATAATATATAACACTGAAATCTAAAAAGGGGTGAGGAAACAAGAAACTCACATAATTATACATGGAAATGATTTCATATTGACCTATTTGTTAAAGCTCAATGAAAAAATTTTTGAAAATGCATTCCTATTTATCAAATTCCACTGATTTATTTATGTTGCAATTATATCATCTAATTTCATCTTTTGCCTTTTAAATCACATTCTAGTCTTCTTTCAGCTTACATATGAAATTTCCTTAACAGGAATTAAAAAAAAATTTTTGTTAAATTACATATATAATTTGAAAGGTAGCAAGTAGATAGAAAGGCCAAGAAAGAATCATCTTCTGGTTCACTCTCCAAATGCCCAAATAGCCAGAGCTGAAACAGACAAAACTCATGAGCCCAGAATTGAATTTGGGTCTTCCACATGGTTTTCAATGACAGAAGTAGTTGAGCCACTGCCTGCTGCCTCCCAGGGGTGTACGTTAACAAGGAGTTGAAGCTGGTTTCTGAATGGAGAAATCTAGACTCAAATCAGATACACTGATGTTAATGACCTGCTATATCAAAAACCTTCCCCAGAAATATTTTAATACTAGCTGAACTGAGCAATAATTGAGGTAATCTTAATGCCCTTATATGTTATTGTTATTTATCAGAGCACCTTAAATGCCAATGTTGTAATAAAACAAAATCCAGAACCGGAAAAGCCATCTGTGATCAAGTTAAGAACAATGTTTAGAATAATTACTACTAATTGATGTTATACTCAGCCAGTAATTGGGGTACACCTATAAATATGAATAGTGAGCCGAAACTCACAAAAGGATTTTCTTATAGCTTTCTGCCCAAAGACTCAAGACATTTCAGCATGCTCTTGAAAATCAACACTCATAATTTAGCTAATGTTCACATTATGTGGTTACTGCTTGAATAATGACAGGACTGTTAAATCTTTTCAAGACGGAGTTTTGGCAACCTAACAAGCATCTATAGACACAGAGGAGCGATCATTAAAGAGCTGCAACACATTCAAATGAAAATAACTTAGCTTCTTTTTAGCTTTTCAGTCTTCCTTACTTAGAATATAAATACGTGTACGCTTATGGAAATAAAATTGAGCCTGAAAGTCAAGAGAATTAGTCATGGATTTATATTCCCACCTAGGGTAATTTGGGATAATTTGTTTGACTTCTTTGCTTCAATTTTCTCATTAGTGTTACAGAAATGATAATCCCTGACCCAACTAGTGTGATAGATTTAGAAACCTTTAATTTAAATGATTATCTTAAGTAATTGGATAAGAGACTCCTAAGGTAGTGGGCTGGCCAACAGTGTTTTAGGACACAATAGCAGCAGAAATAAAAAAGTCCAAGTTACAGAAAATGAGGATTATCTGATTTCCAAAATGTTCAAATAATTTGCTTTCCACTGACAAGTTTATTTTGCAGCTCTGCCTGTGTGGAAATTATTAAAAACTCAGTTCATTTGTGACTGCTTTTCATAATGAACTGGGGTCCGATATAGTGCCTAGAATGCAGATTCTAGGTGTCTTAAGGTGTCACATGAAAATTGATATCCTGAATTGAGAATGGTGCACCTGGTCCTACCTGGACCTTAGCCGCTAGCCCTTCAAGGTCTCCAGACACAGGGGAACATTTCATTCTTCAATAGATACCATCCTGATGTCTGGTCTTGAGGGATTTCTTTTCCTGGAATTACAGGTCTGAGGAAAAGGTAACTAACCCCCAAGCTGACTGGAACTGTTTGCCAAAATCAAAACTGCCTGAATGACACATTATCACTGACTAACAAGTGAGAGCCACTAGCATTGCAAACCAACCAGAGAAAAGGACATGAACTGAGCAGGCCCAAAGCCAATAACTTTATCCCAATCCCTATATAGTTGTTAGGGACTCAAATGCTTGAGACACCATCTGCTGCCTTCTAGGTATAAAAGCTGTACTCAGGCAGAGGCAATGTGACATGCAATGTAGCTTAATTTGCTATGCCAGAAATCAGCTAAAATCAGTTATTTTAATCTTTGAAGATTAAGCTTTTAGCATGAGCCATTTAAGCATTGTCAAGGAAAATAACAATAAAGAGATAAAATTAATAATCATAATAGTAGTACTGATTAAAAATTAGCTATTATTTGGGAAATGAAATGCAAGATCAGAGAACATGCAAACACCAAGAGAAGCCTGAAAAAAATCCCGATCCTCTTGTTTCACTGATTCCAGGAGTAGAACATGACCTATGAATCCCTGATGGCCCCCTCATGCATGAAACCAAACTGTAAGGTTGGGAAAGAAGTTTATTATCTAAAATGCCCATTTTCAACAAAATATGAAAGAAAATGCAAAGGAAAAAATGCAAAGCTCAATTAAAAGAACATGATGAATCTTTAGAAATACTTAAAAAGTCAGGAGGAAGGAGTCAGTGTGGTACAGGAAGATCAGCTGCTACTTGTGATTTCAAGTCCTGGCTGCTCCACTTTTTCTTTTTGTTTGTTGATTCTTCAAAATTGATTTTGAAAGGCTGAGTTACAGGGGATAGGGAGACAGAGAGATCTTCCATCTAGTCCATTCCCCAGATGGCTGCAATGGCCAACACTTGACCAGCCTGAAAGCAGGAACCATAAGTCGCATCTGAGTCTCCAATGTGTTTGGCATGGGTGCAAATACTGAAAGCCTGGGACAAGGTCTGTTGTTTTTCCCAGGTCATTAGCAGGGAGCTGGATCAGAAGTGGAGCAGCCAGGACTTCAACAGACACACATAGAAGATGTTGGTAAGACTGGTAGCAGTGTTACCTGATATGCCACAACACAGGTTCACATGTCCCTATTCCCCAACCTTTCTAATACACTTCTAATTCAATTTCCCACTAATGAACCTGGGAACTCAGTCAAAAGCCCCTGGAACCCACATGGGAGACCTGAATGGAATTCTAGG